GGTAAAACAGGAACAAAAGAAAAAAAAAATCTTGCCGATATTTTAGTAAAATCGAATTGCACTAGTTCCAGGATAATATTTATTTTTATTTTTTATATTTTTTTAAAAAACCGGTTTTGGAAAAAGATTGACCTTCAAAAAAAAAAAAAAAAAATTAAAAAAAACGGCGCTTGTCTATATTAGTACATCTCCTATTTAAGATCTCAATATATTTTGTTCGATGTGAGCAGCCTTATATGTTGATATAATTATACTGCCTATAAAGAGTATAAAGAAATAGTGTACGAATTAATGGATACCTATCTTCTACAACCAAATATACAAATTTCGATGAGATATTCTATATTTGGGATCGTATCTTATGCATTAGAAAATTAAAGCATAAATGATCAATTACAACTATTATGTTCTATTGCCTATTACACTTGACAAACAAGTATGTATCTTTTAACAGTATCCGTTACACTATCTTACAAAGAAGTGTGCCACTGCACCAACTATTTGTCAGAATACTCGTGTTCCCGTTTCACACATCTGGGACAACGTTACCTTTAATCAATTCTAACGAGTAGAGTTTAGATAACACAAGATGGAAGACTAAAATATAGATTTATTCCAAAACCAGAAAGGTTGACTCATCATAAATCCAGGAGATGTTGGCAATATAAAAAGGATTGATTATTTCATAGCAGCAGAGTTCTTTAGTCTATTTTTACCCTAATAAAAATATTCGTTTTATCTCATTATTTTTATACGTGCATTTTATCAAATATCACACAAAGTACGTGGTTCATGACAGTAGCTAATCCATTGGGAGAACTATTAATATTAAGTTTCTCTTTCTTATATTTCTTGGTTTGATCGGAGAAGCTTCTCTTCCCGATCGGTGATATCGTAACTCAGTGGTATAGAATTCTATATCCAACTTTCATTCGTATATCGATTTTAAGCCAATCATGCAATCTTTTTATATAGAAATATGTACTCATAATAGGAGTCGTTGTGTAGCAGTATACAGGTGTATGCTGTTACTCAATATTAAAGGATGTTTTTATTCCATGTTTTTATTTTATTCGATTTATTTGTTTATTCTCAAATAAATCATACCCAAATACGACAGTCTTGATGTTTTCTATAATAATAGGAATGATGATCATGTTAGATTTATTAGCCGGAGGGTGACTGAAAATGTTATATAACTTACATTGCTGTGCTTCGCGAGCTACCATGTTGGCATCCGTCATCTCATTATCATCAGGATTATCACCGTTGTCACTAGGCATATCATTGCTAGCGTTACTGGCGAAGTCATTCCACAGCGCAATAGACATATTGGCTGTCTCTGGGGAGGTATGGTTGATACGGGTATTGTTGGTACTTTGGGGACTACCAGACGTACGCGAAAAATTAATAGCATTCAACCGAATGTTACCATCCACATTTGGACCACCACGAGAAGTATTGCAAACATGTTGAGGCGCCCAGTTCTCTGCTTGGCACTTGCGACATCTGCGGTTATTACGAGGTACACCTCCCGCGGCCGCAGCGTGACAATCCACGGTGTTGTGCGTGGTTACACGGTGGAACGAACAGAATTTTCCAGAAGATTCTCTTGATTGGTGGGGTCTTGGTTGATAACCCGCAGCAGAAGACGAACCAGAAGAAGAAGCAACATAGACAGGAGCACTATTAGACCCAGATTATCGTTCTTGAACGTGACTATGACGGGACGTAGCAGCATGCTTCGACAGACGTGAAAACTGGTGAACATCATCATTTTGGTTCATCACGGAGGCAGAGCGCTTGGGAGCACGAGGTGCAGGGACATCCATAGAATCAGCTTTCATTTTACCTTTAGAGAGGCGGTTGAGTAACCCACGAGCAAGACCAGCAAGAACATCTACATCATGTTGTTTGTATATAGGCAAAGTGGCGGTAGCAATAGATACTTGATTCATAAGGTTATCAGGCAAAGCGAAAAGGAATTTTTCAGCCAATACTGACTTAGGGAGAAATTGGTCAACAGCGTGACGACGAAGACTATTGAATCGGTCGATAAATGACTCCAACGATTCACCACAAAGCATACTGATATTATTCAATTCTCTTGCACAGTTATTACGCTCTTTTTGAGCATTCAAGCCGTACCGAGCTTGGAATGCAGCAGAGAATTGAGACCAGGTGGGATCAACTTGGAACACCATGCGGAACTTGGTTAAGTAGCCTTCAAACCATACTCTGGTGTTACTAGTCAATTGTGGGGGAAGCAAACGCAAAAAGTTGGCATCAAAGTCCAAGTTATGACAATTCATAACATCAGTGAAACGAGTTAAACAAGTCTTGATGTCTTCAAAGATATGTTCACCAGGAATATTGTCATGACCTTCCCAGCAAAACATAGGTAACTTGACCGGAACGACGGACGATCTCTTCGATACTTAGATGGTATCCTTCACCGTATCTTTCATCGCTTCCAAGCAATTCTTCATCAACTTCAAATCTTGAGTCCGGCGATTTAAGCGAGTACGCTTGTTGTTCAAAGAAGGATCGTTTTCGGGTGCAACACCAACATATCTAGTGAGATCCAAAATTTCATCTCGAATGATGGAGATGGCGGTCTTGATATCATCATTCTTGTTATCCTTCCCGGTAGGCTTAGGTTCACCGGCAGGTTGAGTGTTAACTGCATTATCTTCTTGAATAGGTTCATTCAACGCAGTGAATTCAACAAATGTTTGTTCAATGCCTTCCATGGAATCATCTTGAGGTTCAAAGGGCTCAGTATTAGAAGATTGATCATGAAAATCAGCAGGAACATCAACAGGAGCTGTTGTGTTTTAAGGTAAAGTAAAATTATAAAAAGACTATATGTGAAAATCGGTGTAGATTTATAAAAATAAAAACAAGAAAATTATCAAACTTGCAAAAATTAACTAAGGCTTTATTAAACAAATAAAAGGGGGTCTTTATATACACATTATTTCAGACATTGATCACAGATGGGCTGATGACGGTAGTGGGTAGATTCATCCAGATAATACTCGGATGTAATGATCCCATATAGAAAGACCATAATGAGATGTCAATAACAATAACAATAACATTCATTCTTAAACTGTGTATGTCTTGTAGCACAATATTTAGGGGAAGATGTAGTTCTTAATTCAGATAGCTGTGGCACCTCAATGTGGCTGATGTAACCTTCATATGTGTTCATATCAATGTTATTATTTAAATGTATGTCTTATACTTGTATGAAGGATGATATGAGATCAAGCCTGTACATAAAGTAAATGATCAGTATTTAATATAACAGTATCAATAAGAATTATATTTAGGATTATCAAATGGAAGATTTAAGAAGTGTAGATAGAGTCATATATTAAGTATATAGCCTCGATCACGACACTATAGAAGTAGTTTGAGACTGTTTATAAGATTGTTCTTTATTAATTAATGAAATATACGAGTATTTATATAAAAGACTGTCTGCTGTGTTCATATCTCTAGTGCTATCTTGAAGTTATCATTGATTAACCAAAAATGTATACGATTATTACATAGTCACAAATTTAGTCTTGCTATAATAAATGTTAAGTCTTCTTAACTCTCTTAGCTTTAAACTAAATTTTAAGTATTTCTCAGACGTACTAAATTAGACTTGTGATGTAATATCCTTATAGTTCTTACTATGACATTTATTGTTAAGCTTATATCACAAATGGTATCAGCATGGATAAACCTTTGTTAGCTCTAATATGGCTATAGCCTTGCTAGGTCACCACAGGAGCATCACTTGGAGAACCAACAGAAGAGAGAGAGCCAGCAACAGGAGAGAGAGGGTTACCATGAACATCAATAGGGGAACCAATGGAAATAGAAGAGGAATGGTCGTTTTGAGATATTTAGATAAAAATTTGTTGTATAAAGTAAGTTATAAGGGTTGATAAAAAAAAATGAGAAATTCGAGAGTGAAAATAGCGAATTAAGAAAAAGTGTGAAATTTAACAAAGTGAAATTATCAAACTGCAAAAATAAACTGAAGCTTTATTAAACAAATAAAAGGGGTCTTTATATACACATTATTTCAGACAGTGATCACAGATGGGCTGATGACGGTTGTGGGTAGATTCATCCAGATAATACTCGGATGTAATGATCCCGTATAGAAAGGCCATAATGAGATGTCAATAACAATAACAATAACATTCATTCTTAAACTGTGTATGTCTTGTAGCACAACATTCAGGGGAAAATGTAGTTCTTATTAAAGATAGCTGTGGCACCTCAACGTGGCTGATGTAACATTCATATGTTTTCATATTAATGTTGTTGAGGAAGTCATAGATCATAATAAAAGAATCATCACATTTACATAATAATGGATGATCATGTAAATATTCATGGCTCACACTTCGCCCCATTTGTTATCATCAGAACCGTTGGTGTCTATGCACAAGGTGATTCGCCTTGTGACGAGTAAAATATTATAATACCATAAAAGTATAGTACAATCCCATTGGCGGAATATTCGGTTACCGAATATTACACGCACTAAACTTTCTCTTTGGCATTTACGTAATGTCACCTGCGGAGATGAATTTAGATCCCCACGTATTTTTGTCTTTACTTTGTAAGGCAGGAATTACTTCATAACATATTTATTTAAACAGACATTACGTACAACATTATATCATATTCCTCTAACGCGTCACATATATTATCCGAAAACCATCTAATCATTTAGTATAAATACCTGTAGTTTTTGCTAGTAGAATTCCCTAATCTAAATTTTCTCGAAATAAAAGATATACACAGTTCTAACAGTATTTTCTTTTGTTACCTTAACTTACATTTTATCTCCATCCCAAACAAATGTTATTATTTAAATGTATGCCCTATACTTGTATGAAGGATGATATGAGATCAAGCCTGTACAAAAAGTAAATGATCAGTATTTAATATAAAGTACCAATAAGAATTATATTTACGATTATCAAATGGAAGATTTAAGAAGTGTAGATAGAGTCATATATTAAGTATATAGCCTCGATCACAACACGTAAAAAACCCAAACAGCCTGGTGATGCCTATTTTTGGACGCCAACTCTGCAAAAACTATTGGATACAAGGGACCAAGCACACCGTGCCTGGAAACGCTGTTCCAATGGACTGAACAAGGCGCTAAAATGGATAGACTATACTGATGCAATGGCCCTTTACTGGATCGAATTAAAACGAGAACGTAGAGAGACATGGAAAAAGTTTTGTAGCAAATTGTCAGATGGTTCCTTTTCTGAAACCACATCTATCATCAAAAAATTACGTAGAAAAAAGGTAATCTCACCCTCTTTCTCTCAGCCTGAAGGTCCAAAAGCAGCAGCCACTGAAATGGCCCGACATTTGAGAGGTGTTTTTTCTGGAGACACTCTCCCTGAACTACGTCCTTCTGCCCCACTGATACCAATTGGCCCAGCAATAACGGATCGTGATCAACCACTTTTCCATGACCTACTAAAAATACGCATGCCAAAGCTGATCCCACCGAAACCAGCAATAGGCGGTGTTTGTATTCCTCCAGTAGCCTGCGATTACAAACTTGGTGAATGTCCCTTTACAGTAGATGAGGTGATTATTAGTCTCCAGTACAAACTGGCTCGACGAAAAGCACATGGGGTTGACCATCTTAGAGCTGAAATGCTCCTACCTATATGTGATGCCATCGCTCCAATTCGGGCTATGCTATACAGCTTGTGCTGGATTTGGTCTATTGTACCTAAAGCATGGAACACGGCTGAAGTCGCACCCATCTTTAAAAAAGGTGATCCCTTACAAGCCGCCAACTATAGACCCATCAGTCTCAGATCTATTCTACGTAAGCTGATGGAAATGTGCTTGACAAGAACACTGCACGCAACATCTCCAGATCTTGATATTGTTCAAGGTGGTTGTAGTAAAAGTAGACTTTAAGAGAGAATAGTTTTACAGAAAAAAATAGATAAAAAACAAAGAGAATACAATTATAAGTCTTGTCAATTTATTTGTATAAAAATTGATTAAGAGCTAACTAGACGGGCAGATTTGCCCTGATATTTATAGAAGATTTAAGATATTGTGGCTTGTATTTTTGACAGCTCAGATCCATCGTAGTTTTATATGATGGACCATTCATTTGGTTTATTGAAGGTCGTAAGATAGTTGTTCTTGATTTATTATTGTTCCTTAAATTCTCTGATATCTCATTGGTCGGAGCCTAGAGTTGTGTTATAATGAAGAAATTTCCATGAAGCTGGGTTACTTATTCCCGATCTTTTATCCGTGAAACATCTTTCCTTTTGTAGACAGTAGCATTTATTATGTGGTTTTAGCACAGTGGTTTTCGAGAACGACGGTCAACTACTGATCAAGCTCTTGCTTTACATGAACTTTGCCTTCAACATAAAGTGGATCATATGCGTATGTGGTATTTGACAAAATTAATACATTTGAGAAATAATGAGATAAAAAATTATCGTTACTGGTGTGGTATTTGACAAAATTATTACAATAGAAAAGTAATGCCATAAAATTATATCTTTATTCGAGGTAAAAATAGACTCCAAGAACGCAGCTGCTATGTAATGATTGTTTCTTTTTATATTGTACACTGTTGTGTTTTAAGGTAAGGTTTTAAATTATAAAAAGACTATGGGAGTAGTTTGAGACTGTTTATAAGATTGTCCTTTATTAATAAATGAAATATACGAGTATTTATATAAAAGACTGTCTGCTGTGTTCATATCTCTAGTGCTATCTTGAAGTTATCATTGATTAACCAAAAATGTATACGATTATTACATAGTCACTAATTTAGTCTTGTTCTAATAAATGTTAAGTCTTCTTAACTCTCTTTGCTTTAAACTAAATTTTAAGTATTTCTCAGACGTACTAAATTAGACTTGTGATGTAATATCCTTATAGTTCTTACTATGACATTTATTGTTAAGCTTATATCACAAATGGTATCAGCATGGATAAACCTTTGTTAGCTCTAATATGGCTATAGCCTTGCTAGGTCACCACATTATCCCCACCCAGGTATTAACTAATACCGTTCAAGTACTTCTTTTTTTTTTTTTTTTTATTTGACATCAGCTTGGTCTTTGTTTACTTAAACAAATAGATACTACTTATCTCCTTAGAAATACTAATCTTTGATTCATGAATACTACTTATTCAGAATCAATATTTCTTCTTATTTTGACTAACTGATCTTGTCGTTCTTTTTCTCTTTGTACCTGAACTTGGTTGGTTCGCAACATTTATATCCTTCAATAATCTTTTATTGGCCTTATTAATTTCTTTGATGCTTTCTGGTACTTCACCAATTCTTTGCCAGTATTCTTTGATAAACTTTGGATCTGTAAAGTTTTCTTCTGGTTCCCAAGAATCATAAGATTCATCAAAGTCAAACCATTTGCATCTATACAAATACTTGTTATTGTCATCTTTCTTATGACCAATGATTGCTTCAACTTCAAGAAACTCATCTTGATGCTCTGAGATCTTATCAGAAACTTTCTTTAGTAAGGAAGGAGGATAATTTCTAGGTTCTAAGAAACCTTTTTCATTCTTAAGAACATACGTATTAGCAGCAGTTTTTCTAACGACAGTATAAAATCCCTTATACTTTGGATCTAATTTATTCTGTTTCTCTGTAATCAAAATCATCACTGTCGATCCCGGCTTCAGGTCCAGCATTTTGTGACTTGTATCAAACTTTTGCTTTTGCTTTTCAGTGACTTGTTTTACGTTATCATACACTGCAGGGTAGACTATCTCCGTCATTCTTTTTATCTTTTCCTGTAACTCTTTACGTGTATTTTCAGCTGTTTCATAATCCTTCTCTTGACTAAAGTTAACAAAATCATTTGGATTCCTACCAAACATTAACGAAAATGGAGTACTCTTAGTTCTAGCGTTATACTTGCTATTCAAAAACAATTGAGCAGAAGGCACCTTTAAATCCCAGTCAGCAACGTTACCAACTATTTGCTTCTTAATGGTGTTTACTGCAGACTGTACAGCTCTTTCACTTGCACCATTAGCTCTAGGGTGATACTGAGAAATTAACGCGTGTTCAAAACCAACGTTCTCTTTTATGCACTTCATTAGAGAGTTCACAAACTCACGACCTCCATCACTTTGCAACTTACGCATTGGACCCCATGTACCAATTATGTCTAACACTTGTAACGCAACCGTGGCCATGCTTTTATCTGGTATGGCACGTAACACATAAAACTTACTTGCAATGTCGATCATTACTAACAAGTACTCATTACCTTTAGTTGACATTGTGAATGGACCAGCTAAGTCGATACCCCAACTATCCCCAGGAAGTGTGGCACTGACAGGTCGTAAAGGGTTGTACCCCTTCACAGCCGCGCACTCGGTGGTAAAAGGTGGTAAAAAAGTACCAACTTAGACCACCTGCGGTGGTAAAAACCCTTGATTTTTTATCCCAGATGTGGTACAGGTGGTACGATTTCACCACCTCTGGTGGTAAAAAAAACAAATTTATACCACCAGAGGTGGTGCGTTTTATCCACCAGTGGTATCATTATACCACTTTAAATGGTTTAAACACTCCAACAGTTGTATCTTTTTACCACTTTAAACTGATGTATTATTCCGTCTGTTGCATGTTTTTACCACTTTACATTGATATATTGTTCCGTCTGTTGTTTGTTTTTACCACTTTAAAATGTCTTTTTGTTCATTCCGTTGCACTTTTATTACTTTAAAGCATTACATAATCGAAAAAAAATTTACGTATAAATACACAAAAACTGTGAAAAAATGGGGGTATAGAAAACGTTTTTATTGGTATTTATTTTGTATTTTCACTTCGAAGCTACTGAACTTGCATCCATATTATCACCAGAAAAAAATTAAATGGAAATATTAATTAACTTACTATCAACAAGATATAACGGCAAGAAAAAGTCTTTCAATAAACATCATAAAGAGCCAAGGGATCATAAGGTATAACAGCATATAAGACTAAGAAAAAAGTTGGACTTCCTTGAGAAATACAACATAAAATAAAAAATGTAGCCTAAAATAAAAATAAATCGCCCTAAAATTAGAAAATACAGACTAAAATAAAAAAAAATGCAGGCTAAAAAAAATTTTCTATAGCCTAAAAAACATTTCATCAGCCTGGAAGAAGCTTGTCTACATATTGAAGCCTTTAATATCAGCACAGAAAAAGCTCTGAATCTATACAACACAGTTAAAAACGTAATGAAGATGTATGTTATCTAGTGCCTTCACCATATGTCACAAAGCGAATATACAAACTTTCTACGAAACTTATAAGCCAGGAATAGGATGAATATTTATATATGCTATATTACTACCTTTTCTTATTGTTTAGTCTTTTCTACAACCTGCGAGATTGTAATCATATCATATATTACAAAACTTAGGTTGTGCAAATAAGAATTTACGAAGAGAAAGAAAGAGAAAGAAAAAAAAAAAAAAAAAAAAAAAAAAAGTAAGTTTATTAATCCATTAGATTATTCAAAGTGCGAATTCTTTGAAATTTTTAGTAGTTATCTTCTGGCTATTTTTCTTCTAGAGCGGTGGATACGGTCATCTTCTAAAGTCTGTTCAAGCTCTTCTACGCCAGTATTCTCATCGCCGTGCAGAGGACTAATCCGTTCTTCCTCTAGTTCAGCAATAGAGGGAATAGTCTCTTCGTCATCCGACAAAGATCCTGCTTCCCGGGTTGACACGTTCTACAGAAAACGCATTAGAAACATAATAATAAATAAGTGTGATTGTTTAGTCATTGTATTACCCTTTTTCCCAGTCTGTTGTGAGCTACACTTGCCAACAACCTTTCTGCTCCCCCCAGTAGTTCTGGCATCTATCCAAGTCTGTTTTACCTTTCTTGGCTAATCGTTCCAACATGATGATGTATTTCATCTTGATATCACGGGAAAGCTTACCCCAGGTGCAATTATCATCACAGAA